AAGTATCAGTGTGTATATGCAGGTCTAGCAAGATTAGTGAGGTAAAACTAGGGTCATAATAGTGGGAGGAGAAAAATTTTAAAGAACTAGAGGATAGTTGTTTCATCATCCCTCTACTGCACCCTGGGTGTATTGTCCCTTCCGTGTGGCCCTTCTGTGAGGGACTGTCCAATTATCATGCAGGTGGGTTTGGGGTCTTCACTTTGCCTATGCTCCATCACGTCAATTTGATTACTCTTTTTGAACTTCTGATACCTATTCCTGTTGACACTTCATCATCATGCAAGCTGGTGTGCTTCTTCATGTGAGCTTTGTTGCTTCCCTGATGGATGGCTGCTTCATTATTCACTACACTGTTTGGTTCATTGATTAGTTTGTAGTGGGCAATGCAAGCTACAATCTTTGCTAGTTAATTTCCTTAATCTTTTTTTGGATTACCCAAAGTTTGATGATTGTTAAATTCCATTATTAAAGTTTTAGCTCCAAGACTTGACTTCAAGATGATTTCTAACATGTATAGAATACTCAAAAACTAATTTCTGTGAGAGGATCCACAAAAACATTTTCATAACCAGGATACCTCTACTGACAGACTACTTATACCGCAAATCAGGTTTTAAAAAGAAGTTTAAAAGTATTATGATACCTTAAATTTATAGAGAAACCACCACCAAAAGGAATCATGCAGAAGAGCAATAGAAGGCTCTGAGAGAAAATGAGTTTTCCAGATTTTAAAAGTTTTCTCCTATAAAAAGAAATATGTAGATTAAATTAAAGTCAAATTTTTAAAATGTTGTCCTATAAAAATAAACACATAGATTAAATTAAAACCTGTAAGCAAACATGAGAATGTAAACAGGATTTATAAAAAGGATGTGTTCAATAGTTATAGACCAGGACTATTCAATAGAAATGAAATGTGATCCACAGATGACATTTAAAACTTTCTAGAACTTACCTTAAAAAGTAAAAAGCAAAACATAAAATTAATAACACCTTATTCAACCAAATATATTTAGGACAGTATATTTTCAATAAGTAACAATTAATAAAACGGTTTACATTCATTTTGTTACTAAGTATTCAAAGAGTGGTATTTTTACACTAATAGCCCATTTCAATAAGAACAATAAATTTTTATCAGCGATACTAGATCATAAACAATAAAATGCTGGTACATTTAAATTGAACTATGAAATACAGGGGCACCTGTAATGCAATGGACCAATGAACTCATGAGTTATAGTTTTAAAAAAAGAACTAGATAGTAGTTAGATTTTGCACAACATAGGGCTATAATTTTTCAACCACACTTAAATTTTTTCCATCAACTAAATAGTATATTAACTTTTGAATTTGTACTTATATTATTTAAAAGGAAATACAATTTAAAAGCTAGCTCCTCAGTCACTTGAATCACATTTTAAAAGATCAACAACTACAACTGCTGAGTAGCTATTACAGTGAGAATGTGTACAGACTAAAACAATAGAAATCCAAGATATGTACCGCAATTCCCCCCATTTCCCATTAAAAACACATACCAACAATCAATAATAGGATCGTGTGCCTGGCTATGACCCTTGCTCTTGTTAGTTGCTGACAATGTGGTCCTGACTCATGGTGACCTTCTTAGAACAAAAAGTCACCCACTCTTGTACCTCTTCGTAATTTTTAATATGTTTGAGAACATTGTTGAGGCTGTTTTATGACCATAGAATCTGTCTAAACAAAGTGTGCTGATCATAGTATTGCAGATAACTGATCATAATTGGCACGTAAGGTTAAATCTACTTACCACAACTACTAGAGATTATACATTTTGGTTTGAGTAAGCACATTTCATAGGTTATTCTATCTTCTTATTTTAAAATATCAGATGCATAAACATGAACTATTCCTTCCAGTGAAATTCAATAGGCATGAATTCCTGTTTTTCAAGCACAAGTCTACAAGAAGGACAGTGTGGAAACTTTCCTACTACTAAAACTCTTCGCTATGCTTTTTGCACCGAGAGTTCTGCCCCATAGCCCACTCAGAGGAAGGAGTGTCCTGGTAACTGCTTCAATTCAGATTTAGCACTATTTAATTACCCAACAAATGTGTCAAGTAGATATGCATAAAGAAAAATTAAACAATTGAAATACAGGAAGGGGACAGATTACTTTTAAAAATTAACTTAAATTTTCAAATAAAGGCCTTTTTGAGGGTAAACTAATAGCTCAGTTGCTTTAATTTTCAGTTTTACTATGTTTGCTATCATGGAAAACTTGTTTCAAAGACAATTCTAAAGTCTTCAAAAATATATCTGTAGTTACTCAAAGCCACAAAAAATGTCAATTTGAGCATGTTGAGATATAGGAAGCCATCGAGCAGGAACAGGAAGGGAAAAGCACAGGGCCATGGTCACTGCCAAGACAATGCACACTAGCGACCTCAGACTCCTCAGGAGGCAGCACACAGTCCAATACAGCCTCTCTGGGTATGAGTGTGTTAGACATCACCTGTCACTCCTGCCAGACTCATCGCCACACTCTCAAATCAAATCTTGTGGAACCCTTACTTGTTTGAGCTTTTAACTACAGGCCTGATTCATCAAATCACATTCTCGGAGCTGATCATATAACACAAAGGATATTTACATACATCAAAATCATGGGCTTTTAAAATGAAAAGATAAATTCGTTCAGCATCCAAATGTCTGGGTAGTTGAGGAAGTTCACTTGCTTTAAATCCTGAGAAGTTGTAGCCCTAGAAAGAAGGATATATTATAAAACACTGTTCTCAGTATAGTAACCTCATATGGCCACCTACTCACCATCGAGTTAATTCCAACTCATGTTTAATAATAATTTCCTGACATAAATAATTGATTTCATTGTTACATAATTAAGGAAAAAAATACTTATTTCACCTAAGAAAAGTCATTCATTTTGTCTGTTTCTCCGAAATTAGGATAACCCGATATATTCATATACCAAAGCTATAAACAATTTCATATTGGAGGACTCAATTTGACATATACTAAAATGACTTTTAAATTGTTCATAAAAAATGGATTTGGTAGGACAAGAAAGCTTCTATCCTGTTCACAACCCTTCCTCCTTTGAAATCTGTATGTACCTGTATATCTATATCTGTACCTATATTATGACATACATTTTTTAACCCACCATAATAATTTTGATATGGAATCTGGCAAAGCAAAACATTTAAATACCTCTATATTCTTCTGTGTCTCCATATCATCTGAAAGCTGCAAAACATTGAAAACGAAACAAAAAATTTAAATTTAGTTAAATAATGTTTATATTTTTAAAAGTTATTCTGTTAATGAAGGCTAGATATGCTAACAGCCTACTAAGACTTAAATGCCATGTTAGACGCTGGGAAAACAAAGATAGTCTATACCTTCAAGGAAGTCATTTCAAAAGAGTCACCAAATAGGAACTGTGAAATAGATTCTTTAAGGGCAATGTCAAAACACCTAGTCTCTCTCTCTCTCCGTTTGAATCTCCCACCTCCCCTACCCCTCAAAATGAGGAGTGTTATTTACTATTGGACATTGTTTTCTGGTTTATTTCTAATATTGACCTTTTTTAGAAGTTGTATTTCTCCATTGGTTCATTTGGGCCAGCCCGTTTGTGTGGCTTGGAGTTGTGCTCCTGTGTAATGGATTCTATGGACTGTTATACACTCTGCCTCCTGGCTTAGGTGTCTGCTTTTCCCCTACAAGTTCAGATGTGGAAGGGGACAGGGGTTCTTTCCATGTCTTTAGGAATGTAATAAACTGAGTCCAAAATGATGTTTCATGTAAAGAAGCAAAGGAGAGGAAACTTAAATATGTCTCAAAATTGTTTTCAAATTAGTCCTGGCATCATAATAAGACTTGGTCCTAATGGCTTTGGATGGGGGTTGTTGCTAGCATTTGCTTTCAGAATGAGATGGGAGCATCTTTCGTTGGCCATGTGCTTTGGTCTGGCACCATCATGTTTGGGTTAGAAACATAACTCAGCACAAACCCTGTAAAATGTTGGAATTGAAGCATCTCATTCTGATCACTTAATTTTTTTAAGTTTAATCTTCTGTACTTAAAAAAAATTTAGGGTGGGAATGAGGGTACCATACTCCAAAAGGAGGGTATATTTCTAAAGATTTAGAAATCCTTTGGAAGCTTGTAGCCTTTTCAGAGTTGTCTTTAGGGGAGCTCCTGACCTTCCTTATAGATGAGTAATAAGAAAATGAGATGAGTTCTTAAGAATTCAGCCATGTTATTTTTATTTACTACCTTTTTCACCATTATATCTTAAAAATTGTTACAAAATTTTTTGACAAGATTACTCTGTCATGCAGAATTATTGACCTCATGGGACCTGAAGTAAATATCATTTTGTCAATTATAAGTGGACTTTGATGAACTTACAGTTCTACTTTATCCTTACAGTAGTGTTTAAAAACCTCCCAAAGAAAAGTCTCTCCATTCTGATCTAAAATCTCATCTTAAGGGAAAAGAGTGTGTGTCCAAAGGTGATAGCAGTTCATGAGGTTGAGGAAGCTAGCATGGCACCTAGACTCTGCCTTTCCACAACTGGAATATTCCATCATAAGTGTATTTAAATTCTCGAGGAGATAATGCTGAGCAGGACGAAGGAGGGGTCTGGATGGGTTATTAAGGTAAAGGCTGCTATATCCTAACCGTTGATTATTGGGAAGGGGCCCTGGATAAAGCAATGCCACTGTTACTTTTGTTTAAACAAAACAAACTTGAAACAATTATGAAGTTTTTTTCAGTGAAAATTGGAGAGAATTCTAATGTCTCTAGCCACAAGGGATCAGTCCCATTGAGGTGCGCAGTGGGAATTAAAAAACCATGAAAACATTTTGGGAAGGGGGGAAATTGGCTTTATGTTAACTGCTAAATGTTCCAGTGGGGTTCTGTTTTTGTTGGGATGTGTTATATGGACATGTATATTGACCGGATTTTTTACTGAGTTTATATGGTTCAGGGAAAAAAATGGTAAAATCTTGATTTTTGTTAATTTCTCTCGAAGACAACTGGAACTACCTGCCGCCCTCTGCCCGCAGAAAGGAGCCTCATGCCTACAACAACAAAACACAGAGATAAGGGTTGTGATAGAAAAGGAAAGCTTCTGTTATACGTTTGGGCTCTCTGGGAAACAGACTCGGAGGTAGAGGTGCAGCATGCTTATTAGGGAATGGCCTTGGAATCAATACTTGTGAAGCTTAGATAAATTAACTATGATATAAACTCAGTCGTCTCAGGTGACCCCAAAAGACACCGTGGAGCTGAAAGTTTCCCATCAGAATTGCCCTGCCATAGGGTGTAACCGCCAGTCCCGACTGGCTCCATTTCAAAGAGGGATTGGGTGTCCAGGATTCCTAGAAGGGATATCCTACAGCTGAGGTAGCACATGAAGAGGCTGACTGCTGATGGGTGTCCTTAACGCCTCTTCTAAAAGCTGACAGGCAATCTGAGTGCCCTATCTCCATGTGCAGTACGCTGCTTTGCACAGAAAATACGTAACTCTTTGTCTATGCATGTGTTAGTTTTTGACCATGTAGACATGTTGGTGCATATATACTGTTTAGTAATTTCCATGTGCTCATCTTCCTGAGAAGTAGCAAAGATTCAAGCAAGTTTTACACACACACACACACACACACACACACACACGAGGAAAACATATGAGGAGTCTTCCAAAAGTATATGGAAAACTTCTATTATCTTTTCACTCCATTTTTCCACAAACTTTTTGAAATTCCCTCCTATAGAACAGATTTGAAAGGACAAGAATGGTTTGCTAGCAAAAAGAGGATCAGATTATTGCCAATGAGAAAAGTATAAAGGATTTAAAAAAAAAGACAATTTAGGGACAATGAGATGGGTTTTTATTAGAAAGAAGACTATGTGCTTATGACTATAGATACAATTGGCTAATAAAGATAGAGTCATATCTAGAGACACTAATATTAATCTCAACGTCCTGACTGGATAATTTCAAGAAGAGGAATAAAAATCCAAATAAAACAATAAAAAATAAAACTCAGTGATGCATTAAAATACTTAGTGGCCCCAAAGTTAGACCCTGGTAATAGAAGCATCTGCAAAGCAATCCAGGGCGTGTGCCACATTCACAGATGAAAGTCCCTTTTGCTGTCACCAAGGCATGCATCCCTTCTCCACTACAATGGTGAGAAGATTTCCTTCAAGTTTTCAAGCAAAGAGTTCTAGCTGTTTTTAGTTCTCTATCATCCACCTCTATTCGCACCTGTATCCAATTCTACATCTATAAATCTTTAGTAAATTAAAAATGCATTTCTTTACTCTTAACAGAAACTACTAGCATCCATTCCATTAAGCTTAGACAAGATGGAAAAGGCCACAGCAATGATCTTTTAAAGCTGCATCTATAGACGATTCATAGAGCAACAATAACTTCTTATGTACCAGTAATAACCCATTGTAGTTCATTAAATGGTCTCCTACCAAAGTATATGTGTTGGAATCCCAACTCTTGTATTGTAGACGTAACCCTACCTGGGAATAGAGCTTCCTTTGTTATGTTCGCCAGGTGTTCCCTGTGTTGGGTGACTTAAACCTAATCACCTCTGAGTTACAAAAAGGGCAGACTAGACAGAGAAGCAAGCAGTATACCAGGGAAGACAGATGCAAACAAAGTATTCTCTGGCTATTGACAGTGCTCTTCCTTTTGAGTGAACATCTTGAATTTGAGCTTCCAATATCTAACCTCATACAAAGAGTTTTGCTCTTTAAACAGGACCATGACACAAAGACACCTATTTACTAAGGAAGTGGGAGGAAAACTCCCATTGACATGAATAATACATGTTTAAGAAAATTAAGAGTAAATTGGAGTCCCTGGATGACCCAGATGTTTTAGGGCCAAGTGACTACGAGCTGGAAGGTTGGAAGTGCAGACCACGCGGAAGACAGGCCTGGGAATCTGACTCTGAAGGAAGGGCCAGCGCCTTGAAAACCCCGTGGAGCAATTCCCCTCTGCACATGTGGGGTCGCCATGGCTTGGGATTGATTCAAAGCGATGAAGAGTCACAGTAGCACTAATATATTTAACAATGAATGTGCAGAATCTTATTGAAAGACTCACACAGATTTAAAATCAATCAAAATGTAAACTTCTATATAACAAAAGAGAAATGGTTAAATGTTTACCACAAATATTAGTGAGAAGAGTTAATATGTAAAAAAAAATTTAGAGCTCTTATAAAAAAGGAACACATGAAAAAGAATGGTCAAAATTCACAAATAATCAATTCTAAATAATAAAAGTACAAAGGCTAAGCAAATCCCCAAATCAACATCATTAGTAGAGGTCCACAGTTTCTAATGTATTTGCCTCCAAGTGTATAAACATGATAATATGCAATGTTGGCAAAGGAATAGAAAAACAATCAATCAATCACAAACACTACTGTTAACAAATCAGAATTTTTGCCACCTTTCTAGAGAAAAAAATGACAATATTTAGCCTATAATTCTAAATTTCCTTTCCCTTGTAGCTCTACTTCTACAAATTTAGCTTAAGAAATAATCAAGGATAAGCATAATCTTTATTTCTTTTTTTTATTTTTGATTTTTTTTATTGTTTTATTTTTATTTATTTATTTTTAGACATTTTATTAGGGGCTCATACAACTCTTATCACAATCCATACACACATCAATTGTGTAAAGCACATTTGTACTTCATTCTCAAAACATTTTCTCTCCACTTAAACCCCGACATTAGGTCCTCATTTTTCCCCTCCCTCCCCACTCCCCCCAATCTTTATTTCTAATTTGTTCACAGAACCCTACTAAATAATTGTGAAAATAGAAAAGTGTTCAACAAAAGAGCATTTGCCTTAAAATTTATTTAGGAAATACATTTAAAAACTAATATACAGTACTATTTATAGATAAAATTTTTCACATGTTTAATGAATTACAAAAAGGCTTTAAATCCTACTTTTGGTGAAAATATACATTATCAAAAAAGGTAAAAACATAAAGACCATACCATTATCTTCTTTGTTTTCTTATAGTACTTTAGAAATTTCTTGTGTCTTTCCAATTGTCCATAAGAAGCTTTAAAAAAATTAAAATTTACAACATATATATACACTTTAAAAAAGGAAGCATTATTTTTAAACTTTAAAGAGATATACATGAAATAACTAAATGAGAGAACATACTTCTTTGATAAGTATAAAGCTAAGCACATTTAGTTGAATGAATTATTATAAATACTGTATGAGAATTTTAATTTCCACATATTTTTATGAAATATCATGTTATAACTAAAATGTATACAATGTGGCAGTGGTTGCTAGCTACCCTCAGCCAGTTCTAACTCATTGCAAGCCTGGGTACCAGAGGACGAAGCACTGCCTGCTCCTGAGCCATCCTTGCAATCATTATTTTATTTGCGTTCATTGTTGCCGGCAATGTGTCAATCCATCTTGCGAGGGATTTTTAAAAACCTCTTCACTCACTGTTTTACCAAGCATGATGATTTTCTCTGGGGACTGGTCTCCCCTGATAACTCATCCCAAGCATATGAGATAAAATGCCACCACCCTTGCCTTGAACTAGGTTAGTCGAATCCTTGAGGTCATCATCTCTTCTTTCTGCTTTAGCGTCTCCGTATTCCACAGCAGAGGCCATGGGGGTGCAGTGGGTTACCCCCGGGCTGTCACCAGGAGGTCTCTGCAGCTCGAAAGCTCCAGCCATTTCAATGGAGACACATGAGGCTTTCTGCTCTCATATGGATTTGTGAGTGTGGAAACCCGAGGTGGGCAGTTCTGTCTGTCCTATAGGGCCACCATGAACCAGGATTGATTCAATGGCAATGGTTTTCATATTACAAAACTAAGAGTTGGAGTGTCTGACATTGACTATGCTCTTTTCTTTCCCGTTCTTTTCGTGGCTTTTGGCTTCCGTCGTGAAAGATGTCTTTGGTGTCATCCCACGACTTGTCTCGTCTTTAGTCTTCAAGGCATCGTCGCTAGTCTTAAGATTGTAAATGCAGGTGGGATAGACTCAAGATTTTACTCTGGCTCCAAGACTTCTCTAATGTTCTTCAACTTCAGCTTTAGCTGAAACTTATTCACCCTGGGTGACCCTGATGGTATTTGAAATATGGGTAATAGAGCTTCCAGCATCATAGCAAGAAGCAAGCCACCACAGACCTTCAAACTGGCATATGAGGGATGGAAAATGTCTGTACTTTAGGTTTTACAGCTCAGTACCTATGTACTTGAATAAGCCCACATTTTCAAGTAGTTCAGTCACTTGCATTTGATTGCTTCCTGGTCACCTTAAATTGAACGAAGCAGTATGGCTTAATGAAAGATTATAGGGACTCTGGAGTCAGCCCAGATTTGAGAGAAAATTTTATATTTACATATTGATGACAATGAATTTTTTTTTCAAAAATGTAAAGCAGGAGTAACTTATGAAGGGAAATATTCAGATTTTTCACTTCTGTGCATTAAAATGGTCTTTTATAAGGAAAATGTATGTGTAGATAGCTTGTACACTTTATAAAGGCATTTTTAACAACAAATCAATAAAATTCAATAAGGTAATTGAAAATAAACTAGTGAATTTAATAATATTATATTTACACAAGCAGAGTTTTGGTGGCATACATTGAGCTGCTAACCACAAGGTTAGTGGTTTGAATCTATCCAGAGGCCACTTGAAAGAAAGACATGAGTTTGCTTCCCAATGATCACAGCCATTAGAGCACAGGATTACTCTGAAACACATGGGATTGCCATGAATCAGCATTTGCCTGATTAATTGTTCCTCCTCTCATGACCTCCCACCATATGCCTATCAATTTGTCATGCTGTGATAGCTTGCATGTTTCAGTGATGATGAAACCATGTTACTACTATTTCAGATACCAGAAACATCACCCACATTGAAATGGTTTCATGGAGCATCTATCTTAGGACAGATTAGGAAGAAATGCCTGGTGATCATCTTTCAAAATGTATCCCCAAACCCTTATAGATCACAACAGAACAATGTTTGCTTTGTTTGATTTTGACATGTCATCAGAGGGGATGGATTGTTAGGTCGGTGTCCTAGAAGGGTCATATTTTGTGAAACAGAGGGCTAGTGAGGAGGAGAGACAACAGCGAGGGTGAGGGAGATGCTTAGTGAAACAGTCAGGTGCAATTGTTGCAACAATGGACTTGAACATGACAGCTATTTTGAGAAGGGCACAGAAAGGACTGTTCTGTTCTGTTTATTTAAGGTCAGTATTTTAAAATGAATCAAAGCTATGCATAAGGCTTTGACGAGGAAGTGATGGAATACACATTGAAATGTTTCAGAAAGCTAAAGCACTGGACGCACTCACTTGTCTGTGCCAGACAATTTGCAAATCATCAGAGAAGCTGGATCATATGAAGAAGAGTGTGGCATCAGGATCGGAAGAAGGATTGTTAACAACCTTCAATAGGCAGGGGACGCAACCTTGCTTGCTGAAAGCGAGGAAGATTGAAGCCCTTGCTGATGAACATCAGGGATTGTAGCCTTTGGAATGGATTACAACACAATATAAGGATGACCAAAATCCTCACAACTGAATCAATAGGTAACAGCATGATATACAGAGAAAAGGTTGACGTTGTCAGGCATTTTTGTCTTGAATCCGTAATCAATGCTCATGAAAGCAGCAGTCAAGAGCTCATAAGACATACTGCATTAGGTCAATCTGCTGCACAAGACCTCTTTAGAGTATTGAAGAGCAGAGACGTTACTCTGAGGACTAAGGTGTGCCTGACTCAAGCTATGAGATTCTCTATTGCATCATTTGTATGTGAAAGTTGGACATGGACTAAAGAAGACTGTAGAAGAATGGATGCATTTGAATTATGGTGCTAGAGAAAATATTGAAAGTGTTGTGCTGCCAAATGTACAAACGGACCTGTATGGGAAACAGTAAGGCCAGAGTGCTCCTGAGAGGCAAGGATGGCAAGACTTCATCTTACACACTTTGGACATATTGTCAGGAGAGACCAGTCCCTGGAGAAGGACATCATGTTTGGTAAAATGGAAAGGCCGTGAAAAAGAAGAAGGCCCTTACCAAGCTGGATGGACACCGTGGCTGCAACAATGAGCTCAGGATAGCAACAATTTTGAGGATGGTGGAGGACTGTTTCCTTCTGTTGTCAGAGAGTCGCTAATGGGTTGGAGCCAATTCAATGGCATCTAACAGCAACACACAAGGTCATCATTAACTGGGTCTCTCGCTGTCCATCTAGAATCCATCAGACCTTTCCTGACTTGCTTGTCTCCAGCACCAATATGCATGGTTTTCCCTCTTTGCTTGCTCTGCTTGTTTCTCTGATATTATTCTGCTAGCTCCAGCTCCATCTTCAGTTTTGCAAAGTCATTACTATTGTAGATTTTGTCCGGAGTAACACTTTCTTGGAATCTACAGGTTCATGTTCAATTACATATTTGTATCAGACCATTCTGAATGAAGAGGTTGTAAAGTAAGATAGACTAATTTTTATGTTTAAAGATATTCCATATCTATGATTCTCATCTTTATGTGCTTACACATGCACATGTGAATGTGTGGGTGTACACACACACACACACACACACACACAGATTACTCTTGATGAAATAAAGTTCACCTGTTTTAGAAATCGCGGTGTCCCACTCAAGCAATTTGGAGACATGGTCTTCCAAAAGAAGAGAACATTCTTTTAATCTTGTTTCCATGTTCAGGGATGCTTCAAATAATTGAGGGACTTTTTCCCATAAATATGTGTAAATGGTAATAAATGAACAATCATCTTTAATATTTTTCAAAGTGTCTTCACATGTAGGATCATGATGCAAATGAACTTCCCTTGGCCAATAATCCTGCAAAAATGAGAAATAGAGAGTACAACTAAAATCATTTTCAATAAATTTAAATAATATTGTTCAATACATTTAGATCATTGATGCGTTATTCCTATTTAATCCTCAGACTCTATTCAAGTTTCATCCATTGAACCAGTACTACTTTTTGAGCAAAGGGATCTAGTTCGGAATCACATGTGTTTAGGCGTCATGTCTCTTTAATTCCCTTCAGCTGGCAACAATTCCTTGGTCTTCCCTTGACTTTTATGACACTGATTCTTTAGAAGATTACAAACTGGTTGCTATTTTGGATCTATTTTCACAATTAGGTTTAGGTTATATATCTCTGGGGGACAGAATATCATAGAAATAGTGCTGTGTTCTTGTTCCTTTCTGGCTGCTGATGTAAAAGTTTGATTTTATCCAAATTTGACTACAATGGGTTTGACAAAATGATGAAGGTCATGCTTATTAGATGTTTCCACTAAAAAGGTACATTTCCCCCCTTTTTTATAATGAACAATTCCTTTGTGGGTAGAGTTATGCTTACATTATGTACAAATTCCATTCTTCATCAAATTTTCATTTTGTTTATTCATAGTTGTGTGAATGGTGAAATCAACTCCGTGGCACCTAGCAGCAGTTTACTCAATGGGTTATGATAAGGGATGATCATTATTTATTTTGAGGCACAAAATAACCCATATTTGGATAGTGAAATGTGTCTACATTCTTTGAGTGTTTCCTTGCTTTCTTGAAAGGAAGAGAAGGACCCAGAAAAGGAAAGGGGAGAGAAGGAATGAGGGAAAGAGAGCCACAAAACTAATATTTATAAAGCCAACCACAAGGTCGGCGTTTCAGTATAATCAAGTAATCGCAAATCAAAGAAAGCTACCCAAGATGATTAAGGGTTTGTGAATGAGATCATACGTTCTGTCTTACGGGGAGACTTGAACAGCATGAAACGTTGCCGTGCAATTAGGGTAAGACATACTGGGAATTTAGCTAAATGAAAAGATGTGAGATCTGCAGATGAGAAATGTCAAACCTTCCTTGGTCAATATTCTGCTTCCCTTTTTGGTCCCTCAAAAGTTCCCTAAAATTCATCACACATGACCCTATATGTAACCTGTGCTTTCTTTCTTTTTTTTTTTTTTAATCAATTTATTGGGGCTCATAAAATTCATCACAATACATAGATCAATTGTGTAAAGCACATCTATACATTT